GGTAAAAGTTTGAGTATTAGATTTAGAGGTTGCCATTGGGTAGCGAGAGGGGAGAGATCATTAGCTCTGAGAGAGAGAGAGAGAGAGAGAGAAATAGTCAAACAATGTGAAAATAACCAAACAGCAGCTTTGGTGCGAACAGTAACTATGATGTGAACAGTAATTTTGGCATAAACTTTAGATTCCGCATGAACAATGACACTGGGTGAATAGGGACACATATGTTAGCAATCCGCTAACATGAACATTGATTTCAACGTAAACAATGATTCCTATGAATAATGATTCCAATAGAAAAAGAAAAAAAAAAAACTGGAAAACATACATGGTTTCTAAAAAACTTACACCTATGATTAGTGGGCCCAAAGGGAAAGCACTAATTAGGATCTTGTTCTCCAGAAACCGAGAGGGCATATGATGAATTCCGTGTATTCAAACCACACCACTACGTTCAATGGTGCTTATTTAGTTTCTCTCTTGTAAATTTTAGTTGGCATTATTGATTTCCTTATGAATATAAATAGATCATTCAGCTGTGTGGTGAAACTAAGTGAAGAACATTTAGAAAAAGCTCACTTGTCATTATCTCCCAATTACCAATGTTCAGCTGAGTGGTGAAACTAAGTGAAGAACATTTAGAAAAAGTTCACTTGTCATTTAGAAAACGGCTCAGTATTTGCTATATTATATAATGGAGTAACACCAGAATGATCCATTTGTGTGACAAAGGACTGGATTAGGCCTAACATTACAACCAGTAGCGAATCTTGACCAATGATCGGATAAATAATATATTATTAATAGATAATAAATGAACATGAAAATATAAAAGAATATCAAACGATGAAAGGTCAAATTTGTAAATATATAAATAGGTATATTTAATAATCATTAAGTTTAGAACCATCAAAATCATAGACGCACATGTGCGTTACAATACTTTGGGGGGCCTAAGATCCTCTTCACCTTCCTAGAAATTCCACCACCGATTACAACTCATTTGAAATATGGTTGTCTTGTTTCCTTACTTAGCCCATCTGGCTGGACCAAGTTGTCTATTTTGCCAGCTCTATACTTGCATGAACAATGACTGGCAGGAGAATAATTTCCTATGACCATATTATTTCCATTGCTACATTAGTTGAAGTAGCCATTTTGAACAGGAAATATTGTTAACAATAATGATGAAAAAGGTCGGTAGTGGTTTTTATTCTTTGATGTTAGTATTAATGATTCATGTTACTAAAGTTAACCGTGTATAAATTTTTTTTACTAGTACAGGGACGCATTCTAACTGTTGCTGGGGTGACTACAGCTATATGCTCAACACCGTTTGTTGGCTTCTTAAATTTAGTTACTCTGGCTGTCTGGCCAAATTGGGTAGTGGTTGCCATTTGTGAGACATTGAGAAAGGTTATTCTCTACTACTTACAAATATTGGTTTCTTCTGTAATAGAATTCAATAATTAACTTATCGTATAGAAATGAGTATCGTGTTAAGTGATATGTAGGTACATTGTATGATATAAAATATTGAGTTTGTCTAGTTGCAACACAATTTATAGTGTATGATTGTCGATCGAGGACCACGTGTGTGATAATCAAGATACATTGCATATTGCCTCCACTCTTATTTGCCATGTTGACCAAGTATGTTGAGATATATTTGTCAATTCAGAAAAGTCGTGTCCAGAGACATTTCCATTAGTAATGCAAATGAGTAACTAACAGCTGTTTTAACTGAATCAGAGAGTTCCTTGGTTATGTTTCACTTTTAACAAGCCTGGCGCATGTGATCTGAAATTTTTGTCGTGGTCTGTTATTATGTAAATGGTAGGTTCCTGTATTTGAAAAAAGTAATTATTTAGGAATTTGTATTTCTGTATTTCTTACATTCGTCATATAAATGTTGAGTTTGTTGTGTAGGTTTTTCAGCAAATTCATTTCGTTCCTTTCTCCAACAAAATACTACATATTGCAATCATCTTTTGGATAAATTAATCACCGTGCTTCTGACGATATAAAACAGTAAACTGTTGATTAAATTAACTATTGCACGCTTATGTGAATTCATGATCATGTGTCACAACATTGCAGGTTGTTACATATGTTGTGACAAGACCAGGGAGAGAACTTTTATTTACCGTTGTTTCAGAGGATGAGAAGTATAAAGCCAAAGTATGACCATCTTCTGTTTCCTTTCTTCCTGTAATGTAGTCTTTGTAGATAGTCCCGTGGGATTGTATAATGACATACACAACCATTTGCTGCCTTTTCAATTTAGAGCCAACCAATGGCTTCGCTGCTGTAACATTATTATACATTCTATATTTGTTGGACATTTCCTAGACGGTACATAAAATGAGCTCACCTCTCAATGCCCGAATTAATGTCGCAGGTATGCATAGATGTCTTGGTTCAAAGACTTGGAGATGCTGCAGCAGCTGGAATGTACAAAATGCTTTTTGGTACTCTCAATGGGAACACATCAACAGTTTCCCTTTATGGCCTGCCTGTACGTGTAAACTTATAATACTGTCCGTCTTCCTTAAATATTCCTCTCCACAATTGGTTAAGAATCCTAAAAATAGAAACAAAAAAAATATACTGATTATTTCCATACCCTGATTCATGTAATGTCTACCTATTGGTTATAGTCATCATTACTCGTAAACATTTTTCCTTTTTTGTTTTATATGGGCAAGACTAATGTGTATTTTTCCGTTGTCTGTAGGTTTGTTTGTTATGGATAGTCACAGCATTCTCTTTGGGTCGTCGGCAAGTGCAACTATCGAAGCACCAGATCTCTTCTACTTAATACAATTTGTGATTAAATGTACAATAAATTATAGTTATTGTATGGAATATCGTCTACAGATTGGAGAAAGTCGAGCCTGAGATAATAAAAGCTAACACGGCCATGCTTTCCAAAATTCAGTCAATTCCTTTGCTGGTGGTAATTTGGGTATCTATGCTCGTATTTAGAGGGTTCCTAAAAATGAAAAGCTTTACACTTAAAAATAATTGCATATACCTTCAATCTGAATAAGTCTTTTTTATAGGCAAATCAATTTATTGAACCGAAAGAACAGCCACACTTGAGCAGAAGAGCAACGATGGACAATACAATGTCAGAACAAAGAAAATGAAACATTATGCAGGTTTATATGTAGACCAACACAAAAAAAAAACAGACCTGCAGACCATGTGCCGTGGTTTCGTGATTGGATAAACGAACTGTCCAAGTATTTGAATTGCATTCTATGAGCAGCCTATGTACGGTTCACATAGCAATTGACAATAGATGCTTTTAGTGGCAGATTTGATTTTATCTAACCCTTAACAAAACTCGAAAAGTTCCCTTGCTGCAATACTTTTTTATAAACATGAACTTTGGTTAATTCTCGTTTATAATCCATTGAGTGATTAAGATTTAGGAGATCAGGTATACAGCTAATTAAACTAAGTAGAAGCAAATCAAAGAAATTCCACTCCAGTTCACCAATGGACCAGTCTATGGAACTCGCCACTATCTGTTGTCCCAGCAATAAGCAACAAAATAATAAGGCTGTGAACATCAGATTCCAATCTAACCCGTGAGGTGCAGATGGGTGGTATACCCGCCAAAGTTGCGACTAAAAACTTGTAATAAAATATAAGCAACTTATCTGAACCTGACAGTTGATGGGTGAAGTTTAATTTCTACAAATTGAGCTGTCAAGAATAAATCAAATGTTATTTATTTGGACTACTTAGAACAAGTAAGCCCGATTGCATTAAAATGTCATTTCATGATATAAAACAAATTTCAACACTACACAAAGAATGCATGGGAATTACCAACTGAGGTTCATGGTCCCTATGCAGTTTTACTGTCTTGACAGTCTTGCAAGTTGCAACAATTTGCTGGGGTGTGACCCAGGGAAAGGGTGGAAAGATGTACAGCTCATGGCAAATAACCTTAATCTTGGTGAAATAGCTGGTCACAAACATGTCAACTTGCTCTAGTGAGAAGAGAGCTCCTTGAATTCAAAGGATCAATTTGATTTTGTCAAACTTTCTCTTGCATATCATTGTTCCAGACGATGATGGTGGCAATTTCTAGGGAAACTGATTAGTTCAACCATGACAAAACAAGCTTATTGTAACAGTGTGTAAAATCTTGCTAGTTTGGTGACACCCTCAGTGTCATCAACAAAAGCAGAATTATTTATATTAATTGGTTGGGCTTTGTTAAAGCCATGCCCTTTATTTCTAGCTAAACCCCCTTCGTTTAAGTCTAATTTTTGGACAAAGTTCCATTTTGTATTGGACGTGTTATTCAAGGCAGACTAATTTCTGTTTTGCATTGGAAACTTATGTGAAATAGAAACTAAATTTCGCTTGTGGATAGTGTGACACAACTAAAAACGTTTCTGTTATAGTTATTAGGAATACTAGAGATTAATTGTGGTTTAGTGTGATCCCCACTTATTTTATATTTTTGACATTTATATAATTTTATGAGATGGTGCATAGGATGAATGACAACATAGTGATGCTTTAGCACTCTAATTTTTATTTAAGAAAAAGTTTTAAGAAGTGTAATATTTGTGTAGGGTTCCTGCATAAAGTCCAATTCGCAATATTTGTGTAGTCTAATTATAAATATGGTCGTAACTTCCCTTCTTACATACGAGAATCCCAATAAGGCAATACAGAAATCCTGTTAAAATTCACAAACTGATAGTGCATCAATTAACTCGCCAAAAGCAAGGGCGAAATTATGGGGTGTTAATGTGTTATACATGTGATTTCACTAGTATACTGGGAACAACCAAGAGTCCTTTTAGTAGAATACACAGGAACAACCAAGAGTGGAGGTAACAAGAGGTGATGGCCAAATCAATGTGCAATAGGACAAGCTCTGAAACAGATTTCTTCTAGTGAAAACGGCATTTTTCCATGAAAAGCTTTTCGATGACACCATCACACGAGGGCATATCACAGAGAAGCTCAAATTAGTCACTAAGCTTGCAAATGTCAATAAACTTCTGAACTGCATTATGGTATTGGGTTCCCTGAATAAAGAACAAGCACAACATATGCAAGTTAGAAAGTAGGTCATATTTTTCAACATATCTACTATGTTGAAGAAAATATTTTACTGTTTCACATAGATTATAGGGATTTTGGAATTGTTCAGTGTGTAATTTTCATGTAGAGTAATAAGGAATATTCGGTGAAGTATTTAAGTACTTAATTCACTCCCCTCAATAGCTAGCTTTTGAGGATAAGTTTACCAAGTCCTTATGTGCTTACTAGTCTGCTTATCATTCAATTAGTATGTCCTGATGATAGGACTAAAATCTTACAATGTCAAATTTAATTGAACATTCCGTCTTGATATGTCAATAATCATGCATATATCCATCAACAAGCAAGGGGTAAAAGTTGACCAAACAGTAAGTAAAGCAATAATGCGTCCATGCCCAAAAGCAAAATCCTCAGGTCTCACAACAACTATATAAAGCTTCCAAAAATACCAAGTCCAATTAAATAATGTCAATGAACATAAGGGATTAGGCAATGTTAAATAGAAACTCAAACGAACTGAACTGGTAAACAATACCTCCCAATAAAGTTGGTGACAGTCGTTGCACTGCCAAAACTCTAAATTCTTGTCAAATAAGCAATTTGGAATTCTTTGAAAACCCTTTGCCGCTTCAATAGCTTCTTCAGTTGTCAGTGGCTTCTGAATAAATGTTCCATTGCATTTTGTGCACCTCGACATTAGCTTGTCCTCATTAATTTTTAGTTGAAATGTTTCAATAACCTGAAAAACACGTCAAGTTTACCCTTTGTGACACCATGACATTACTCTCATGTAAGAAATGCACTACATTTTTTGTACGAACAAAATTAAAATAGAATTCTGTGTTGTTTGCATTGTTCAATGCATAATCCTTCAATCTAAAACTCTATTTACCATTTTATCAAAGTGAAACTCTAATTCTAATTGTAAACTAGTACAAATTGCACCTATAGAACTACATCTAAGTTTTTTCCGTTTCTATTTACTTTGCAATAAGATGGAGGGACCTTTATGAGTGAAGAAATCTAGGGCGAAAATAGACAATGTCAGCACAGAGATAACTTTGACATCCATGTACTAAATTCTATCCCATCATGAGATTTCTGTATTATCCATAAAATTTAGGTTTAAATAAGTTTTAGTTCACAATGTATGACCTATTTATATTTTGAGTACCCAATAAATTTTTTCTTCCAATAGTTTTACCTAATAAATAATAAAATTTTGGTTTTAGTCTATTGAAAAAATATTTATTGGTATCTCATCACAATTATGAAGTTGAATCTTTTAAGTGATCCCTTAAATATTTTTAGATTGTTTTTCGGTCCATTAACTTATTGTTTATTATAATAACTCATAAGTTTTTCCTCAAATGGTGATGCATCTAGCAAATACAAATAACAAAAATAATCTAATACATATGATACAATTCTTTAAGACTCAAGATCGTCTGACATCCATAAAGGACCTATGGGTAGTAGAAGTAAGGGAGGTAAAACTAAATACTTAAACCAAATTTTTTAATTTAATAAGTATCCAATTTAATTGTTAGATTTATTAGATATTAAATAGACATTTGTACCTAATTTCTAGACGCATGTGTATGGGCCGTATCTTTATTTGTACCTAGTATCTAGAATAGGTCTTTTCATTTTCCCTCTACTCATTGTGTTTGTGATCTTCCATTATAAATAAGAGAACCTAAGAGAGGGAGTTCAAGCTCTCTAATTACAAATTTTTCCTTTTTTTTATCTTAAGTTGGTATGAAAGCAGTTGACCTTGCTCTGTCTGTCCTTGTTCGGGACCGTCCATTGTCCATTGTTTGTCGCTGCCGACTGTCATGCGTCGATGCTCTCCGCTGTGCGCCGCCACTATTTTTTTTTTCCCTTATCGTTTAGGTACTATTTGGTGTGTGACCTCATCTCTATCACAATGTCTTATTGTATCTCTCTCCCCTGCAGTGTGAACATGGCTTCAAGGCCCACAACCTCCTTTTCTGGGTCTCCTATTATAACATCTAAAAAGTTAAATGGAAAAAATGATTTGTCATGGTCTGCTTCAGTAGAACTCTGGTTTCTAGGTTAAGGGTTCCATGATCACCTAGGAAAAGACGGAATGATGTTCCATTGGATCAAGCTCAATAGTGGAAGAAAATTGATTTTCAGTTATGTGCTCTATTATGACAGTCAGTAGAACCAAATGTTTTGAGCTGAAACTCAATCAACAGTTGAAGAATTGAATATTTTCTTGGAGAAAGATTCAGTAGAAAACATAAAGAAGAAACTTAATAAATTTATATGGTTATGATTCTTCGGGCCATGAATTTAGATTACTGATAATGTCAGAGATCAAATCTTAACCGGTCAAGAATTTCCTTCCATAGAAAGTTTAACTACACGGCTTCTCCGAGTTCCAACCCTCAAGAATAAAAATGTTCAGGATCTAGCTGAATCTTCCGTCATGATTTCTACTCGTGAAAGAGAAAGTCGTGACACTAGAGGAGAATGTGATGGTAAAGGATGCCTCAACACATCTATTGCAAGAAAATGGGTCATACCTAATAAAATTGTTTTTCTTTACATGGTTTACCTGACAAGACTGCACATATTTCTAAAACAGAAATGATTGAGCCCAAATTCTCTGATGATGAATATTAGGAATATTTGAAGTTGAAGTTCACTAGCCAAGCACAATCATTAACAACTCCAAAATTGTCAATTGCTTACATTTCTCAATATGTGGATTGTCAAAATCCATGGGTCATTGACTCAGGTGCTTATGATCATATGTCTGGTAATCCCTCATTATTCTCTTTTCTTTCGTCCCCTAAAACTCCCCATTTCATAATTTTTTCTAACGATTCTAAAGTAGCCTTTAAAGGAATTAGTCATGTTTCCATTTCCCGTCTTTAAACTTAAAATTTGTCTTCTTTGTTCCTTCATCTCCCTTTAGTCTCATTTATTTAAGTCAACTAACAAAATCATTGAACTATTCAATAACCTTTAATGTCAACTCTTTTTGTTATACAAGAACGTGGTACAGGTCGACTAATTGGCAAAGGATATGAATCAAGAGGCTTATACTACTTTGGGTCTAAATCATCAGGATCTTGTGTTGCATCTTCATCTCCTGAACTACTTCGAGAATGCTTAGGTCACCCTCACTTGCCAAAATTGAAAAAGATGGTTCCTGAGCTAAGTAGTCTTCAAACTTTGGAATGTGAATCATGCCATCTAGGGAAACATATTAGGTCTTTATTTCCAAAACATTGTGAATCTAGATGTGACTCTGCATCTTCTATTATCCATTATGATATTTAGGGACTTAGTCGTGTATATTCTTTTGGTTTCAGATATTTTGTTACCTTTATTTATGAGTTCTATAAATATATTTGGGTTTATCTAATGAAAGATTGTTCTGAACTTTTGTCTATCATCATATCTTTCCTTAATGAAGTCAAAAATCAATTTGGAAAAATAATTAAAGTTCTATGAAGTGATAATGCCAAAGAATATTTCTCCATTGCTTTTTCCACAACCTTAAAATCATAAGACATCTTACATCAGTCTACTTATCCTCACACACCATAACAAAATAGTATAACTAAAAGAAAATATAGACATTTGGTTGAAACTGTTTGTATCTTATTACTTGGTGCAAACATGCTCGTTCATCGTTAGAGAGATGCTATCCTAACTGTTTGTTTTCTCATTAAAAGAATGTCTTATTCTTCCCTTGACATTAAAGTTTCATTTTCCATTATATTTCCCAAGGAACCACTTTTTCATGTTTCTGCTTGTGTCTTTGATTGTGTATGTTTTGTTCATAATATGTCTCCAGGTTTAGACAAACTCTCAGTTAGAGTTATTAAATGTGTCTTTTTGAGATATTCTTGTTTTAAAAAGGATATTGTTGTTACTCTCTTGAAACCCAAAAATACTGTTAGCCAGTGTCACCTTTTTTGAATCAACTCCATTCTTTCCTTTGTCTGCACAGGATATTAGTTTTGTCCAACATGTCTTTCTTGTACCCTTAGTGAAGTCCTTAGTTTCCTCTGTTCTTGACAACCAAAATCCTATTCAAGATTCAATGCCCCAAGGTGAGTCCTCCTCAACAGGTCCTTCCCAATCATCACTCAATACCACAACTCCTAATAGTGATGACTCATGTTAGCCCATTGCCATTCACAAAGGTGTTCGTTCTACTCGTAATCCACATCCTTTTTATAATTTTCTTAGTTATCATAGATTATCTCTTTCATATTTTTCTTTTATATCTTTTAGATCCTCTATTTCTATTCTTAAAAATATGACCGAAGCACTTGATCATCCTGGATGCCCACAAGCCATGATTTCTGAAATGTAGACTCTTGAACATAACAACACATGGGAGTTGGTTCCTCTTCCTTCCGAAAGAAAAACGGTTGGTTGTCGCTGGGTCTACACCATTAAGGTTGGACCTAATGGTGAAGTTGACTGCCTCAAAGCTAGACTAGTGACCAAAGGGTATACTCAAATTTATGATCTTGATTATGGCGACACTTTCTCTCCCGTGGCCAAAATGACTACTATGAGACTTTTCTTTGCCATGGCTGCCATTCGTCATTGACCTCTCATCAAAATTGGATATTAAGAATGTCTTCCTTCATGGTGATTTAGAAGAGGAAGTTTACATGGAGCAACCTCCTGACTTTGTTGCTTAGGGGAAGTTTGGTTTAATATGTAAGTTGTGACGTTCTCTTTATGGTGTAAAGCAATCATCACGTGCTTGATTGAAAAATTTAGTTTCATTGTTCAAGTCTTCTATTGTCACACCATCCCTATAAAATGTGTCTACTTAATTGTATATGTTGAAGATATAATCATTACAGAAAATGATTCTGCTATAATATCTCAACTAAAGGAACACTTATTCAGCCATTTTCAGATCAAGGATCTTGGAAGTCTCAAATACTTCTTGAGAATTGAAATATTCTATTCAAAAGAAGGTATTGTAATCTCTCAAAGAAAATATGCTCTAGATATCTTAAAAGAGACAAACATAATTGATTGTAAACCCGTGGATAGTCTTATGGACTCAAATTAGAAATTAATGGTAGAACACAGTGAAGTTTTCCCTGATCCAGAAAATGTAGAAGACTAGTTGGGAAACTTATTTATCCCACTATTATTAGACCTGATCTATCTTTTGTTGTTGGTGTGGTTAGTCAATTCATGTAGGCCCCTTGTATTGATCATTGGAATGCTATCATACGTATCCTGAGGTACGTAAAAAGAGCTCGAAGACAGAGGTTGTTATATGAAGATAAAAGGAATACTCAAATTTATGGGTATTGTGATGCTGACTATCTAAGATCTCCTATGGACAGACACTGATATTGTGCCTTTCTTGGAGGAAATGTTATTTCTTAGAAAAGTAAGAAACAAAACATAGTTGTCAGATCGTCTGCTGAAGGTAAATATAAGGCAATGACATCTCTCACGTGTGAACTTGTATGGGTGAAATAGTTCTTTCCAGAGCTAACCTTTTGTGATAACCAAATTGCTCTTCACATTGTTTCGAATCGAGTATTTCATGAGAGAACTAAGCACATTGAAATTGACTATCACTTTATTCTAGAAAAGTTGTTGTCCAAAGAAATTTGTACTAAGTTTGTTGGATTCAATGATCAACTTACAGATGCATTAACAAAATCCTTGAAAGGGCTTCAAATCGAATTCATTTGTTCCAAGCTTGGTACATACAATTTGTATGCTGCAGTTTGAGGAGAAGTGTTAGAATTATTAGATATTAAATAAACAGTTGTACCTAGCTTCTAAAAGCATGTGTATTTATGGGATCTATCTTTATTTGTTTGTACCTAGTTTCTAGAATAGGTCTTTTCATTTTCCCTCTACTCATTATGTCTCTAAACTTCCATTATAAATAAGAGAACCTAAGAGAGGGGGTTCAAGCTCTCTAATTACATATTTTTCCTTTTTTATCTTACGATAAAAGAAGTTGCAGGGTACTCAAAATAAAGTGGGTCATATATTAGGGGCCTAAAACTTAACATAATGTAAAAGTAAGGGGTAAAAGACAATGTAACCATAATATGTTGTAATTTAAATTTTACTTTTACAGGAATGTACATTATCAATCTCTTTTACGTAGATAGTTAATTTAACCATACCTCGAGTAGTTGTTCATTTTTCAGAAGACTCCTCACTTTATATATTTGGTATTTTGTGAGATAATCATGTCTTAGCAACTTTGCATCCCTCGTTAAAATCACACGTTTCTCTTTTTGTGCTTGTTCTATCAACATCCTAAATATAAATGAAAATAGTTTCACAGAAAAAGAGAAAGTATACATATAGAAGTCATCAGATGTCAGAAGAATGACGTTGAGCATATACTACAATCAACAATTAGAAAGTAATAATAGAATCATACTCTATTTATAACCTTGGTTCAGGCTTCTTTGAATAAGGAATTGCAGCATCTATCCCAACACACCGTAAATGTTTTGCCAAGCCTTCAACCTGAGTAAATTCCTTACAAATTCATGTTCACATTTTAATTTTATAAACATTCAGATCCTACAATAAAATAATCCCTTTATTTTAGGATAAAATAGTTGCATGAAATATTCATAAAAAAGAAGTGCATAAAATGGGTTGTGATGATTATAAGGACAGACTATGATGCATGCATGCAATACGAGTATCAAATATTATACGAATCTGATATGACAACACATTTATTCTAGAAAATAGTAAGATAAGATACGTATTTAAAATTATATAAAAAACCATAAAATATAATAAATATAAAACTATAATAATGTAAATCCAAATTTCAAATCATATTTCTTAGACAATATAAAAATGAAAAATATAAGTTATTGTCATTATAAAATATTTTTTATTATTTACCTGTAGGAATAGCATTATCAATCTCATTACTTTTTTAAAATAATTCATAAAGAACCATTATTTTTTATTTATGAAAAAATAATATTTATGTTTCTATTTTACTAGTACATATATGTTTCTTGAACATTTATTAGATATAAATGATTTAAAAGCTTGGACATTTGACTGATATACATATTAGTGAAGCATCTAAAAATATTATATGTGAAACAAATAAAAGTATTTAGGTTTAGATATTTCATCGATGCGTATCATTAAAGTATCGGTGAAGTATCTGATAGGATACATATCCGATACAAATACGTGAAGCAAATCGACAGGATACGCATCGGATACAAATACGTGAAGCAAATTGAAGTATCGGTAATTCATAGAGGACAGATAATGATAAGAAAACCTCACTTCTGTGCAACACAGATGATTGAATTTAACTAATTTTATAAAATTCCGAACGCTAAACATCATAATATTGGAAGAAAGGGAACATCATATCTTCATAAATATGAAACTTACCATTACATCACAAAGGAACTTTGGATATCCATTGCCCCCCTCCAAAGGATCCCAAGGTGGGGTACCTTGCCACTCATCAAACTTCTCAAAATGATTTTCCTTGCTGATCCCATTAATTAGTGAATGCTTCTTTCCCTTCTTTTTTGAGCTTTTGGGCTTTCTGTCTGACTCCTTTAGCAAGATCATATCACCATATTTTTTCACAATTTTCAACAAAATTTCATCCATTGGTATAGTAACCCAGTATGGTGACTTTTGGATCATTCCCCCAGCTAAAGGTATTATCCGAGTAACATCAGAACAAGTTGTGGCTTGGACATTTGCTAAAGCTTCACAAGAATGTGCTCTTAGGACTTTATCACACATATCATGATTTCTGAATAGCTCTTTCAACCCAAGACTTGCATCAGGATTAGACAATACCGTAGTGTCAAGAATAAAGTCTCCTGCAGTGAAGAATTCAACAAAATGTCATGACATAATTCATTGCATAATGCCTCAATGTTACGATAGAAAATGAACAAATTATTATATGAAAGACAATAGAGAGGGAATGAATGGACATATCCCAAGAGTCAGGTTAAAAAATAACACACAAAAGTATCTGATAGAAATTGGTAGTATATGAAAATAAATAATTAATGTTCAAGGAGAATAACTCCTTCACAACAACAGTGAAACTCCAGCTTAGAAAAAGAAACCCGGAAAATTAGAAAATAGAAAAGCTTAAAAGAATAACAACTAGAGCTGCAAGACACAACGTTTATCCCCAAGGAAAATTTCTAACCAATTTCTCACCCAATTTGCATTCTCCTTTCTGCTCCTCTCCTACCCTATAAACATGTCGTTCACTGTCTTTCCCATCATGACAGAATATTCCACTCAAATGTCATCTTGTTATGTGGACATCCAGTTATGCATACCTTCTATTTCTTGCATTTTCATGCTCAGCCCATTTTCTCTCAGCCCCTCTTCCTTCTTTTTACCCCTTCTCTAATAAACATGAATTAAAAAGGCCCAAAAGTCTTTATATTTATTAAATATATGTTGCACATACATGAGGTTTATTTCTGTGGATGCACGAGGAAGAAATGAAAATTAACATACAAAGTTGCAGAGCTTGGAATTTATTCTGCAAGTAGCACAACCAGGTATCAACTACTCCACATCTTTCCTCATACAATGTCAATAAAAAAACAATTGCTAATCTTTTATATGCTCGGCTTACCCCAGAGTGCCCAACCCATGGAGAAGAACAGAATTCGCACAAAAGAGAAGGAATCCTAACTGATCTAGGAGGTAAACCAAACAGTCCTTAAACCATAAGCACCAGCACCCTATGATGAAGATGGGAATCTGAATTCAGCATGAGATCCTGCATAATTCTTTTCAACTAATCATCTTGAAGTGTTTCCTCTGATAATGCTGTCAAATCATAGTCGGTGACCATAGAGAGTGCCTTACATTCCATAACCTCCGAAATTCTATATCTTGAATTTCAAAATCATACCCCAAAAGCTTGGTTGCTCTCTTCTATTGTTCCCCAACCTATTCTCATTCCAACAAAAATTTCAGACTCTGTTGGTCAGTACAAATGCTGAAATGATGGCCAAGTAGGTGGATGAAGCCATTGCAGTGCAAGAATAATTGCCAGTAACTCTCGCTCATAAATTAATTTAACCTTAGCCTGCCTGGATATTGCTTGACTGATAAGTCCTAGGGCTCTTCCTTGTTGCAATAGAACTGCACCAATTCCAACACCAGAGGCATCTGCTTCTATTAAAAATGGCAAGTCAAAGTTGGGAATTGCTAATATGAGCAGCCTTTCAATAATCCTTGAGTGCCTTGAGCTTCTTTTGACCATTGGCAGTTGTCTGTCTACAAAAGTTGAGTTAATGGTCTAACAATCACTCCATAATCCTTCACAAGACACCTACAATACCAAGTCAAGCCCAGAAAACCCTGTAAACCTCTTATATCTCCAGGATCTGGACACTGTTTCACAGCAGCCACCTTACTGGGATATGGCTACGTACTCCAATATAGTAATACCATAACAAACACTTCTTGTAATTCACCCAAAGTGCATGACTCTTTAGCACCTCAAACACTAGTTGCAAGTGATAGATATGAGAAGAAGGATCAACACTGTAAATAAGGATGTCTTCAAAAAATACCAATACAAACCTTCTACAGTAAAGGCAAAAGATATCAATAATGAATGAGTTCCTAGAAGATTGTCGGGGCATTTTTGAGCCCAAAGGGCTTCACAAAATATTCCTAATGACTCACATGTGTGCAAAAAACTATTTTCGAACTGTAATCCTCCTTCATCTGAATTGATGGTACCTCAATTTAAGATCAAATTTGGAGAAGAATGCCGCTCCCTAAAGCTCATCCAAAAGCTTTTATATCACTGGAATCGGAAACTTATTTGAGACAGTGACATCATTGTTCAAGACTTGATAATTTACACAAAACCTCCAATTTCCATCCTTTTTCACCAATATCAATGGGCTGCAATAAGGACTGCTACTTTATCATCCTTATAGCTAACATATCATGTACAAACTTTTCAATTTCAGCCTTATGATGATGTGGGTGGCCTTAGGGCCCTTATGTTGGGTATTTTTGGGAACCTTCTTTTAAAACTATAGCATAATTGTATGACCTCTTGTGAGACAAATTGGTGGTCTCTTTGCATAAATCCTGAAATTCTTTCAATAGCTCTAAAATACCTTCAATAACAGGTTGTTGCTCTATTAACACCATGCGGATCATGCCAAGTCCCACATAAAATGTTGTTGCCTCACCTTGTAAATCCTTTATCTTGGCTTCTGACAATGCCACTGCTGTAGACAAAGTTGGGTCTTGAATAGGTTATCTTTTTGGGCATCCTCTTGTATTCAATACATGATGGTGTTTGGACCAATGTTTTCCTTTTCTAAAATAAAACTCCTACGATAACTTCAAAAAAACTTAATGGAAAAAATTACTTTGGTCTTGGTGCCTAATTGAATTGTCATGTACCTTGCAACATTCAAATTTGCGCATCTAATAGGAACTTGGGCATTATGGGGTGTCTAAGTCCCATAGAGAGTAGTATGGGATGCTCAACTGAGTTTTTTAAGAGTGACGTTCACCCCTCTAAATAGCTAATTTTTGAGGGTGAGTTCTCCAAGTGCGAAGGTACTTATCAATTGGTATTAGAGTAGGTTGTCAATGTCATGGTAAGGACTACCTATGAAGGGTTTTGACCAATGAAAGAGTTGAGTAAAGTGCCAGAGGGAAAGTTGTTGAAACGTCATCTCTTAGGAGCAGTGTCATGATAGAAACTAGAGTATTATGAGGTACCTAAGTCCCACATTGTGTAGTATAGGATGCTGTAACTAGCTTCTGAGGGTGGGTTCCCAAGAGCTTGGGTACTTATCAGCATCACAATACATTATGTTGTAAGCTTGATCGACCAAATATCCAATCAAGCAATAAAACAAAAAATCAAATCTTAAAATAGAAGAAATATAAGGCAGGCTTGTAATTTGTCCAGAGTTTGTGACATAAAAATTTCAAGGATTACAAACCTTTGACAACCTTTGCCTGGAAGATCTTAAATATGTCGAGCAAGCAATGAGCATCCATAGCTGCATATCTTATCTGCCCTTCTGTAAGAGGACGGTGTGACCAATCACTACATTGGAGTTCCTAGAGCAGATATAAGTTTGGTTAACACCATATAGTAATTGAAAAATGCCATTTGGACCAACTCTGGATCCTGAACTTCCATGGAGGACATACACATCCTTGAGCAAATAAGAGGATCCCCTTTCATGTCCCATTACAGACATCATGTTTCAATTTAAATTCAAGAATATGAATAGAAGTATCTTTTGTACTGTATTCAGGTCAATCCGAGTATGCTTTTGAAAAGTCAATAATAATCTGTAACTTGCATTGTTTTGTGATCAAGCAAATATCTTCAAAAATCACTTTGAAAGCTAAGATATTCTGTTTGATATAATCCTGCAAATAGGCAGGTGACGGAACATGTCTTTTTCATTAGAAAGAATATAAATCAAATGACAAAATAAAAGCCAAAATGTGAGATGCACCTATCACTTCCATCTGAAGATAGCCTACTAAATATTAATTCTGATAGAATTTAGACCAGCCCATTAATCAGTAGAATTAATATTCTTAGGGTGATTATCATTCTGGAATTGACAATTGTTACTAGAACATTTTATTGAATCAAAAAATGGGATTAGGTTCCAACTAAAAGAATTTTTTTTTTTATTTAGATTACAATCTGGAATCTTCTAGATTATAGAATACATTCCCAACAATCATTCTACCATCCACAGGGATTAAGCACTATATTTTGACACTTATATGCATATTGATGTCTGATGTAAATAAAGCACTAGTTAATAGATACAAATCATCAATATGCCTCTGCCTAATTACTTAAGCTTCGAAGATTACGGGTTCTCAAATATACACCAAAGCTAACTAGGATTGATCCATGCAAACATAATTCTTTTTCGTAATAAAACTACATTTCATCATGAGGTAAAAGTGAATTATTCACTGTCCAAACTTCAAGCCTAGCTTACTTCAGTTTGAGCAGCGCTGACAGATTTAAATCCACTCATTTCTTCAGCCCAGTTTATGGATGCTTAATTCTCTAAAAAATTAAATATAAATTTGACCAAATGCACGACCTGTTATTCCTTCTTCTAATCAAACCAAAACAACTACAGAAAGAACAACATCGACGAACAAGCTTCCAGCAGTACGTTTCTTTTAAAAGGAAAAGATCCAAGCAAAAACCAACTGATAAAACCTTCCTCCAAATGCTAACAAAAAACTCATTTCACCTAAAGCAAAGAGTCCCATTCACACAATTAACTCAAGTAAGCATACACATAGAGGTATAAAACAAATGTTGAGGTTGAACGAATATCTTATGAAACAAACCTTGGAGAGCGAAAACCCCAATACTTCTGCACATATACTCGACAAACTCTTACTTTGTTTGGGTACATGTTTCTTATTATGCTGCAGATGATTGTACACGCTTCTGATATCCAAATAGGGCTCAACCTATGCACAATTGAATTCAGAAATTCTCAGACAAAACCAGGAAGCAGAGCAGAAATGTTTATTCTCAAGGGTCAGTGGTGTTTATAGTTTCTGAAAAATTTCCAAATTTTAAACATTGCTTTAGTTTTTGAAATTCGTAAACTTTGATAAAAACATTTGACCCTATTTATATATTACATTATCCTCATTGTGTGTGCGCATGTGTAACCTTGTCGAAGCCGCCGTGGGAGCAGAAAGTGGAGGACAAGTAAACCAAATCCTGCTTGAATCCGAATCCGAGTTTCAAGATGTCGGGGCACAGGAGCAATTCTCGCAGCTGTTCCGACAGGGAAGAGAGAGGAAGGGACAACAAGTCCAATACAAACACGCCCCAATCACCGCACGCGATTTGGAGCACCGACACCGTCGGGAACGACCTCCGCACCGGCTTCCACTCCGCGTCCAGGCCCACCACTGAGCTACGAGCCAACGCCTCACTCAACAGCCTGAACTCGCCCGAGTCCGTGCCAGTAACCAGGTGGACTTTCAGTTTTACGTGATCACTCTCCATCGGCGACGTTTGCTTGTTACTTCTTGATTCAGCTTCGTGGTTGAACAAAATATATTTCAGTGAAATTACAAAGGGTCCCTAAAAGATATGGGTCGTGGCTGATAAGTCCTTTGAAGAAAAGGCTTTGCCCGTTAGTCCCTACAGTTTTTCTCCGATTGACAAGTTAGTCCTTCTGTCTCTGTGTTGTTTACCTTTCATACTGTTGATATGATATATGATCTGAATTAAATGAATAAAAAATAAGGTATTATTATTATTATTAACAACCTCATTAATTTATATGTAATTTGGTTGGGTGTATTTTTTGCAAGATGATCCTAGTTTCTCAAATTAAAGAAACTATTTTTTTTTTAATCTTTTATTAGAGTCTATTTAGGTCACATGATGAGTTTTTTCAATTTAAGAATTGTTTTTATAAAATCCGGTTTATTAAGAATAAAAAATTATTTATTTTATAAAACAAAAGTACTATAAAAACAAATAATATTATGATGTATATTTATTCAAAATGAGTTGTTTGAAATTTAAATAATTTAAGTAAACGCTGTTTAACAATATTGTAACACCATTAAGAACATAAATTATATTTTTAACATCTTAATCTTATAAGTTACTTCCGTTAAAAACACCCTTATTATACTAACTCTACACTGACTCCATTCCTATCAAATCATAGAGAAAAATAAATGAAATTATTTTAAGAAATTGGCAAACAGGTTTTGTATTATTCATAACAAGCTCCAACAATACTACCCCATTAAAGCACACATTTTATTAATCCAACTAAAAATATAATAATATTATAATATATAAATCAAATATAATTTTTATTTTATAAATTAATTTTACAAAATTTAATTAAATATTTTTTTATTTTTAAATGATATAAAAATTAACTCTAATAATATTAAAATATTATTCGTAAAATTAAATTGATATTTGACTATGGGATGACGTAATGAAAAATTCTTTTAACTTTGAGAATATGATGAAAATCATTAATGTAATAACAAGAGTTAAGGTTGTGAACCATCACTCAAAGAATATTGATTTAAAAATAAAGGTAGATTTTGATTGAATAACTGACATTGAAAATTTAACTTTCTAAAATTATCATTTTTACTTTAAAATAAACTAAAAAATATCATATTATTTTAACTATTTAACTTGTATATAAATAATACCAATTAAGAGAAAGAGGGTAACCATGACCCTTAACTGAGGATGTGGTTTTTTCTTAATAGAGTTACTAATAAAATAATAAACTTAAATTAATTAATATTAATAATGGACTAATATATTTGAAGTAATTTAATTTAACTATAAGATATGCAATGTCTCACACATAAATTTTAAAGTTGATAGATTTCACATCATAAATCTTAATATATAAATAACTCCTAGGTCCATTTAAACGAATCACAAAAATAATTTATATATCTCTTGACATCTCAACTCTTTTAACTCTTCCTCGCATTCTACTCTTTATATTCTCTTATTTTTATCTTTTCAACCTCTTTTAGATATATTTGTTCCATGTAGTTATTATCTCATACATTATAATATCTTCATGAGTGACTTTGGGTTGGACTTCTAAGAAACTTTTTGACTCTCCTTATCAGTTCAACTTTATAATAATTAAAAAAAAAAACATCTTTATTTTATTACCTAAGCTTAATTTAAATAATTAAATTAATTAGACAACTATATTATATTATCTTTACTTTATTAAAAACAGGATGTTATACATAAATGTTGTCAAATTAATACTTTGAAAGGAAAATAAACCTATGAGTTGATTTTTGGTGATAATTAAGAACACAAAATATAGAATTAACCTTTCATATAAAAAAACTAGTAATTGTTAATCATATAAGTAATTTTTTTTATCAAATTACTGAGAATAAAAAGATTATATTTTTCTTAATAAAGAAAAAGGGTAAACAATCACTACGTTGCAATTCGAACTAGGTTAACATAATAGTCAACATAAACCATTTGCTACATACATCAAAGTAGACCAAACTAAAACCCACCAAAACTAAGAAGGTAGGTTATAGCTAATCCAATATAAAGATTAATTTTAAATTTGAATATTAAAAAATAATTTACCTTAAATTAAGAAACTAAAAATATTTTCAAATAGCATCAATTCACACATTACATTTTTTTTCCCCACAAAGATAACAAGTTAGACGTTACATATTACTTATATTTTGCTAGAATAATGTACATATATCAATGTAATGATTTCCGTAGTAGTGTGATTATATATTTGGTTACAAGTATTTCTATATATGACTTGCATTGACTTGAGACACATGATTCGAAATTACCATATTTCAATTCTGGTTTGAATTAGAAAAAAAAAAAAGCATAAAAATAACGGTTTGACATAAGGCAAAGTTTCGAATTCTGCATGGCGCACACGTTAATTATGGTGTGATACCACACATGCATGTACAAAAATATTAGAAACTGAAAAATGAAATGAGTAGATATGACAATGGTAATTGCTAATGGAAGCAAAAGGATTTAGAGCCATTCATGTGTGTTTGGAAATTTGTTATATAAATAAACATTGCAAAATAGGGCAACTTTAGTTTTGGCGTGTATGTCCCCTAATTAAACTCCTCCAACCTATCAATAACCGATTTTCCCTCTCATTCTTCTCTCCATAATTTTCCTTTTCCCTTCTCCTTAGCTTCTTCGTCTGTGAGTGCCTCGAAACTCAACAAGCACGTGAAAATGTCAAAGGCGGTGGTTTATATTCTAATAGCCACCGCCATGTTGTCCTACGAGTTATTGTTCTCGTTGAACCTGGAGGAACCAAAGGGTCGCCTTAACCGTAGGTTTGGGTACAAACTGCTTGAACAAGCACCGAATTTTGACCCTCTTGTCACAAATTTTGAGAGAGGGGTTGAAAACAAAATCATGCACCAGGACGAGGAAACCGCTTCTCGTACGTCGTCCAATTTGGACAGTACCACGTCGCTTGGTGATGTTGCAGGGACATACCATTATCTTACCTCTGGTGGTAAATTGAACACCACGTTAAGATTGATCATTTTGTTCCCTTTGTTAGATAGAGAACCCAAAGATGGGGTTGTTGGTTTCAATGAGCTAGAGTCTTGGATCATTCAACGAGCAACAGAGAGATTAGATTATCTCACACAAGCTGAGTTGGAGTCCAAAGACAAGAATGGGGATTCGTCCATCTCTTTTTCGGAGTACTTACCTAAGTTTTCTGACGATGATATAGGTAATATGTTTCATCATTTGGTTCTAAATTTCTTCTTTAATTCAACCACCTTCATGTTTTCATCACCCTTAATGAGCTTACTATCACACGAGGGGCCTGAACAAACTTCAAATGAAATTTACTCACGGGCTTTTATCTGATAAACTTCAACTTTAGCAGAGTGACTAGAAAACTTTTATCTCAAATTTTTCATGCCTAAGAAAATTGTTTCCTCTTAAAAACGCTGTGGGTTCTCCTTTTTATGTTTTAGTTTTATCATTTTGGATGCGTTTTTACAGAGATTATTTATAAATTGACATTGAATTCTTACTATATGCTAAAACAGAGAAAAACGAAATGGGGCACGGCGAATCAGGATGGTGGAAGGAAAAATTTGAAATTGCAGACATTGATCACAATGGGCTTCTGAATTTCACCGAACTTAGAGAGTATAAATAATTGATCAACTTTTATTTTTCTTTCTCCTTTCTCTTTTCTTTTGTTTTCAATACTTACTTTGTGGGTCATACCTGTTGAAATTGTTTACATCTCATGCATTAGAATATATGAAGAAATTCGTCTTTTTTGCAGTTTTTTGCATCCAGAAGATAGCAGAAATCAAGAAATGCTAAAATGGATGTTGAAAGATAAACTAAAGTAAGCTTTCTTTTCTAAATGAAATTGAAAGCAACTTGTAATTATTGTCCTTTTGCTTATAATCACTTCGGATTATGAGAGGAGAAATGAGAGAGCATCGTTTCATGCTGGAAAGAATTTGAGATAGTTAAATGTGATAATCTATCAATTTTTTTTTTAAATATACAATTTCATCACAAATAAAGGGTCAAGTCCCGAAATTTCTGTTGAACTGGATACATATTGGCTTAGCTTATACATGTTGCTTTGTTTATGATGTAGGCGCATGGACATTGAAAATGATGGGAAGATGAACTTCAATGAATTTGAAGACCATGTATATAACACATACGAAAGTTATATGGACTTCGAAAGTAATGGAGTTGTACCTTCTTCAAAAGATAAATTTGCTGAGCTTGATGTTAACAAAGACCAGTAAGTTTCTATTTTCAATCACGGTTTTCCAATTCAATATTCTAAACTTGGAGTATTCTTTTGTTATATGCTAACACTGGTTTAGTTTTTGTTGCTTCTTCTTATCAAAATTTACTATTACTACATATTTGGCAGATTTTTATCAACAGAAGAATTGGTTCCAATTCTTTCTTATCTCTACCCTGGCGAGCTAGCTAATGCTAAATATATCACATGCTTTTTGATGAATGAGGTTAGTTCCTATCTATGTAAAGGATTGCATGAAGACATATTTAATTAGTGAAATAAGAATGCCAAGTAAATAGGGATGGAGCAGTACTATGTGACTCAAATATAAAAATAATTAATATTTAAAAAAAAAGTCAATTAACTTATTTGAAAAGGGTAAGTGAAGATAGAATTATCATTGAATGAATGGTGTTTTAGAAGTGAGAGTAATCAAACTTAAATATTTTGAATATGTGAGATTATTGATTCTGTTTGATGCAGGCTGATGAAAATGGAGATGGAAAGTTGACACTCCAAGAGATGCTTGATCATGAATTTACTTTCTACACTACAGTTCATGCTGATGGCCACCAAGAGAGCGATGATGATCATGATGAGCTTTGAAGAATGAACCAAAAGTTACCAAAAAAATTTAACATATATAATTGAAATGAAGTAGCAATCTAGCTGTTTCTTTTTTTTTTTTTTTTTTTTGTAAGATATAGAACTCAAAAACCGAAAGTAAAACCATTTTTCTTTTCAACAGGACGCATGATTAATTTTGTCTTCAGGCATTATTGTGACAACCACGTTTACTAATCCTATTCTAAACATTTACTTTTAATTAAACCATGATTAATGAAAAGTAAAGGAGAAATAATTTCTTGCAGAAAGTCAAACCATAGGGAGTCTAAAAACATGCATACCAGCGATGAGAAATATGAGAGTTCACATGCCAATAATAAAACAACAAAACAAAACCATGATAAATTTAACATAAAATAATGAACTAGGTTTAGAATATTAGTATCATTTCAACATATAGAATTTAAAACTCTATATCAGGAGGCCTTAAGAGATCTCCTGACTTGTTACAATACCACCCCTTCGAAAGTCAGTGTCTTTGATGACTTTATTCTTTAGTATTTCACTCGACCTTTTTTATCGGTCAGAATCCTTCGTGGGTAACCCTTCTCGAGTTGGCTGACTCTCAATAAAAACACCAATATAATAATCATAAAGCTAAACCATCTCTCAAAAGGTATTTCACTCGACCTTTTTTACTGGTTAGAATCCTCCGTGAGTAACCCTTCTCGAGTTAACTAGCTCTCAATGGAAACACCAATGTAATAATCATAAAGCTAAGATGGGAACCATCCCTCAAAAACCGGCCTAAGAGGTTGGAGAACCTCCCACCTTATAAGGCCTCCCTGGTAAGGAGACCTCTCCAATGTGGGGCTTGTTACACATATGCATTGCATGCATACCCATATCTATACAAGGAGTGTGTGTTGGTTTCTTTTAGAAAATATTTTTCATAACAAGGAAATGGACGATTTTTTTTCTATCAAGGCTAGACGATAAATAATATTCTTATATATCTATATTAAAACAACATCTATCAATTTAAAGATAATTAAAAAATGAATTATCAGTTTTGAAACTACAAAATTTTTATTTTCAAAATTAAAATAATGTTTCAATTGAGTTTAAATGGTTTATGGGGCTTGCCGTGAATAAAAAAATACTTCCATACACTATCAAAGAGCTAGGTTGTAATATTTAGGGATGAGTTAGTTAATTGGTTAAATTATATTTTAGGATTGTGTTGTACAACCATGTAAATAAACTTCATGGACCAAGAATAATATAAAAATATGGTCATATATAATTGATAATTTTCAGATGGGCTGTTTTTGCTTCTTCTTTTTTTAAGTCTTTTGAGATGGATCATGTTTTGTTTCGGCTAGTTGACTATGGGACTATGTTTTGATATTAATACTGTGGAACAATCCTATATAAATTCAAATAGTCAAAATATAAAATTTACAAATAGATTGAAAGAATAAATCGAGAAAGAGAATATTTGATGGTTAGAAAGAATAAATGTAGTAATCAAGAAAATTATATTATGGAGGTAGAAGAGTAATTAGTATGAGTTATTGAAGAAGTCAAAACATCAATAAATCGAGAATCGAAGAATTAAAAAGTGAAGAATATCGAATTAAAAAGTGAACAGTATATATAGGATAAAATAAATGTAGTAGGGGTGATTGTCAAATTGTATGAAACAACTTACATTCTGAAAAATGCTACAAACACAAAATAAACATTTTCAATGAAGTTCTTTGCAATTTGGATCACCACTTTCGTTGATTTCCTTTATCAGTTTTTGTTGTATCCTTATATTTATTTTCTTGCACATTTACTTTTAAGCAATTTACTTTTATGGTTCTTTACTATTCTTGCAATTTACTTTAAATATTTCACATTGTATTAAATATAAAAATTGAATACGAACAATCTTTGATTGAAATCTACTGTATACTAAATTTTGAATGAATTTAAGAACCCACATAGTGTTTAAGTAATTTATCGCGTAAACTTGTTAATTATATCGAACAACGAATTATTTACACTAAAAACAAATTGGCACGCTTGGTGGGCCAATCTGCCTATATAGTGCATGATATTGAAAAATGGTAGAGTTATAATGACAAATCAAAATACACAAACTTCAATCCGAATTCTACAGTTATACCTAGTGCTTTAATAAATAATAATGAGAGTCAAAATGTGGGACTTGAGAGTGAAATTTTTCAGGGTGTAAATAGTAACCAGAATATTGATAGTCAAAGAGGTCAAGAAACGATTCAAGTAATAAATAACACGATAAGCAATACTAGTATTAGATCACATATGACTAATGGGAACTTGTCAATCCAAATAAATAATTAGGTAATTCTAATAGCGGAAAAGTATCCATGGCAGCCAATCCCAAATTCTAGTAGGATGAATGATTATAGTCAAAATCAATTGCGATTGGGAAATGATAGGGAGAATAATAGAAATTAAGGTGACTTTGATAACATGAACACTGGGATATCAAATAGCATGCTAGGGGTCATAAGACAACAAATGGACGATAGTAACTATAAAATGGTCAATATGTTGTCCCAACAAATGACTATTATTTTAAATTCGTTGGTACAAATAATTGCTGATAGTTTTCAGAGGCTAGCAGAGCAAATGGCAAGGATAGGAGATGTGCTTGTTATCCTAAGGAGGAATAATATAATAAATGATAATATGCCAGCAAGAAATAATCAACAAACTGAATCCCCTGAAGAACAAAACAATAATAATCGAAATATGTGAGGAAACAATTATAATTTGTAGAGGGATGTTAGGATGGTCTATAGAGGTCAAGATGTCGATCAGATTCTACATGTTTGGGATAGTGTAAGAAGGAATAATCAGAATAATGAGCATTGTCAACAAAACGCTTATAATCAAGTAATCGAGCATTGGAATCAGCCAGATGAGAAAATGAGATTATATAATCAATCGTACCTTATTTCACCATTTCTTGATTTTTTGTTATAAGCTGAGTTGCCTAGAGGGTAGAAAATCCCAAAGTTTACAAAGTTTGCGGGTGATATTGGGGATTCTACTGTCAAACATATAACTAAGTATAAAATTGAGTGCAGGAATTTACTAATGAGTGAGAGTTTAATAATGAAATACTTTCCAAATTCTTTAACAAATAATACTTTTACTTGGTTCACAACACTGTCTCCAAATTCAATATTTAATTGGGCACAATTAGAGAAAAATTTTCATGAGCAATCTTTTAAAGGAGAAACTCAAGTTAGTTTGATTGATCTAATGAATGTGAAAAAAACATTATAATGAAAATATAAATGATTACTTAAATAGATTTAGACAAATGCGATTAAGATGTTTTACACAAATCCCTAAAAGAGAGGTAGTGAGAATGGCAACGACATGGTTAGAGTTTTTGATAAGGATGAAGTTAGTACATGCACCTTTGAGGGATATGGCTCAGTTAGCGTTAGCGGATAAAGTTTGGAGGATCAAACATATTAGATATGAAAAAGAGAGATATAATAAATTTGCTAAGGTGGTGAAGAAGGATAGAATTAGATATGTTGGGATATATAAGTTTAAAGAATTGCCAAATATTTTAGAGGAAAATGAGGATGAAGAATTGAGTGAAAATGATGAGGAAATAAATATAGCTGAAATCAAAATTGGTCCACCTTATGTTTGTAAGTTGCTACGAAAAAGTGAAGTTTCTGAAAAAGTGGCAAAACGAATTTATAGTTTTGATGTGACTAAGGCAGATAAGATTTTTAATATTTTATTAAAAGACAAACAAAAAAAGTTAAGCGACAATAATAAATTGCCTTCTTTAGAGCAGAGAAGGGGGCGCAAATATTGTAATTTTCAAAATATATATGGACATTGGACTTTAGAAACATGATACATGATGTTATCGAACAAGGTCGATTGAAATTTGAGAAGCCAATGAAGGTGGATACTGACCCTTTCAAGGCTCATGTGGGGTATGTGGAAGTTAAACTTAACACTACTGATGGTGTTGAGAATCTGGTGAGTGATCTGGGAATTCATATGGTGGATATTACTTCAGAAGATATCAATCTACGTCATGTTAAATTAGATGATGATGAGATAGATTTTGAACTGGAATTGGAGGATTTTGAAATAGAGAATGAGATTTATCCTAAGATAGATGATACATTGGTTGGTTTTTTGAATCGAAAGAAAGAAAGAGATGAAGAAGTGGCATTATGTCCAAGGTGTAGTGCAATATTCGATAAAGTTGCGGCTAAAAAGTTTGAAGTGAATAAGAAAGCAAAGAGTTATGAGAAATAGTGAATATATTACCAAAGTTGATGTTGAAAAGATTTGGTAAAAAAGAAGAAGATTTGATTTGGCTATGACTAGGCCATTTACTTTTAAGACCCTTGAAGATTTCAACTAAAAAATGCATAAAACCTGGTTTGTGGAAATGCATCCTAATGAGGGATTATATTGAGGGAGGAGGCTAACCTCGAAATGGTCGGGGACAATAATGAAGTTCCATTATAATAATTTTTGGCTCGATTATAGAGTTATGTTGGTTCATTGCATTTGCCGGAGAGTCAAGAGATAATAGGTTGGAGTATGATCGAGTCGAAATAAGTCGATATCATCGACACTAGCGCGTAATAAAAATCTGCTAAACAATGGTGTTAAGTTGGATTGTGTTTATGATTTTTCGCCTTTAGGATTTGGAGAATCAAGTACAACAAGGAACAAGAAAGTGGAGGTTCGAGATCCATAAGAAGAAGTTGATTTAGGTGATGGGAAAGAAAAAAGGCCAACTTATATAAGTTATTAAGGGATTATATGAAAGTAGAGTTGATTAATATGCTTAAAGAATATAAAGATTGTTTTGCTTGGGAGTATGATGAAATGTCAAGTTTGGATCGAAGTATAATAGAAAATCAATTGCCCATAATCAAGGGGAAAAAACCTATCAAGCAAGCTTCTCAAGAGTTTGCATCAGAAGTCATGGATAAAATAAAGGAGGAAAT